ATATATATATATATATATATATATATATATATATATATATATATATATATATATATATATATTTTTTTTTTTTTTTTTTTTTTGTCAATTAAATAAAGTGCATTAATTTGTGCTGTCACGATGCAAATTGCCATTAGGTTTTAGGACAAAGCCCATGAGGTTTAGTATGAGCAAAACAGGTAATATATAGTCTAAACTTCGCCACAAAACCAATACATGTTGTAACAATGCAAACTACAATTCCACAGGCGTTTAGACAAAATATAACAGCAGAACAAATACAATAAATTAAAAAACAAATAAGAGTTTGTAAATTGGGCCTGAAAGAGCATGCATATGACTTCAAAACATTAGCACTATTTAATTAACTGTGAGCAATGATGCACTTTGATAATCATTGGCTGTTAATATGATTTCCCCTATTAATACTGTGCAAACTACACTTTTCTAAAATTATATTAAGAAGAAAGATTGAATGTGCGAATATAAAACCAACTTTACCCAAATTAAACACGTTTTGTACTTTCCTTACACTACATCTACAGCAGGTTTCTCCTATAGACATATATGAATACTAACATCTCAACAATCTCATTTATCGACTCTCCTGAAGGCTTTAGAAATCATTGCAAAATAAATATTACATATGGAAACGAAGTAATCTTCACACATGCAGTGCAACAGACATCTATCACATGCAACAGGTGGAAAAAAACACACATCGCATTCTCCAAAGGTCAGTTTGCGCAGGTGCAGCACATCACTTCACTAACGAGACACACACACACGCCGCTAATTGAAGATGGTACAGCAGTACAAACAAAACAATAGAGCTTTATTGTCATATTCAGCGGTGTTTAATGCCTCCAGCATGTCTTTTAGGTATGTAATTGTATAATGCTCTTACCTTAGTGAAGCTGCGATGGTCTCCATTCCCTCCTCCAGCAGCAAAGCACGTTAAGTCCAGTAAAGGTCCAATGATTGTCCCATTGTGCGGTAAAACATCCGTCAGAAAACTTTGATATATATTCCCTTCATGTAGTCCATCAAACACAGCTTTCCATTAGATGTGTGTGTGCTGGAGTATCGCGTGTTGATCAGTGAACGCGTCTTCAGAACGCGCATTTGCTGTGGTTTACCGCTGTAAATGTGTCTTTATAAAGCTTAAATCACTGAAGACAAGCTATATAAACTCAGACGAGCTTCCCTGCAAAGAAATGCAGTCGTGGAGGTAAGAAAGAAGCATAAATCCACGTTTTCTGGCGATGAAGAGAGTTCACTCCGCAGCGTCCAAACGGAGAACTTCTCTGAAAGTTCCCAAACTCAACAAGTGCGCCCTTCATTCCTCCGGCGCGCACACGCGCACGGCCGCGCAGATGCATCATGGGAGTTGTAGTTTAGCTCAGAAGTTAAACAAACATTTTATACACACTCCTTAATAATAATAATAATAATACATTGTATTATTATTAATATAACTAAAAGACCATGAATAATAATAATATTAATTATATTATTATTAATATTTTTACTATTATTATTTTCATTATTATTATTATTATTATTATTATTATTATTATTATTATTTATTATTATTATTATTATTTAATTTTATTTCTATTATTATTATTACTAAAAGAAGAACAACAAAAATAATATTAATATTTATTAGTAGTAGTAGTAGTAGTAGTAGTAGTAGTAGCAGTAGTAGTATTACTACTACTAAAAGAACAACAATAATAACATGTTACAAGAATAATAATTATTACTATTATTATTATTATTATTATTATTATTGCTAAAAGAACAACAACAAAATCAACAACAACAAAAAACTATTTATTATTATTAATTTTATTATTGTTGTTGTTGATCTTTTAGTACTATTATTTTTAGAATTACAAACAACAACAACAACAGTAGCAGCAATAATAATAATAATGTTTTGTTGTTACTATAATAATAATAATAATTTTTGTTCTTGATGATGTCACTATAATAATAATAATAATAATATAAATGTTGTTGATGTTACTATAATAATAATAATAATATTAATAATAAATGTTGTTGATGTTACTATAATAATAATAATAATAATAATAATAATAATAATAAGCATTAAATAAGCAAACAGTTTAACTTTAATTTTAGTTTAAATCCAAGATAAAAAAGAGGGTTATTAGTAATATTTTTGGCACTAAACACTGGAATAGTGATGATGAAAATGCAGCATTTGAATCACAGGAATACATTAAACTCCAAACTACATTCAATCAGAAAATTGTTATAATATTTCAGAACCTAGCAGTTTTTACTGCATCAAATAAATGCACCCCTGGGGAGCAGAATTAGCTTCTAAGGCAAAATTATTTGCCCTCCTATACAATATTTATTCATTTTCAAACAAAATGATGTTGAACAGATTCAGGATTTTTCCACAGTATTTCCTAAAATATTTTTTCTTCTGGAAAAAGTTTTATTTGTTTTATTTCAGCTAGAATAAAAAGCAGTTCTTACTTGTTTTAAAGCCATTTTAAGGTCAATATTATTTGCCCCCTTCAGCAATATTAGTGTTGGATTGTCTCAAGAGCAAACCACTGTTATACAATGACTTGCCTAATTACCCTAACTTTACCCTAATTACCCTAGTGAAGCCTTTACATGTCACTTTAAGCTGAACACTAGTCAAAAGTTATTAGAAATTAGTTCCTAAAACGATTACGTTCAGAAAAAAGATTGTCTCTCCATTATGAGAGGGCTAATAATTCTGACTTCAACTGTATATGGCAGAAGAGTTTTCTGGAATAATCTTTGCTCAGCCGCAGTCATAGTTCTGGTCTGAGAGTTTGTCCAAACTGCATTGCTGAGGCAGACGAGCGAACACAAAGACACTGTGAATCGACTCTCTGTTTAACCCCAACACATTCCTTCACACATGCCATAACCAAAGCACTGCGGCCCGTCCAGGTTATGTGAAAAACACAACAGAAAGCCTCTTTCTTCATGATCTGGGTCAGGCCGATGAGAGCCAGACAACTGCGCAACACATGCCTTCACTTTCAGCCCCTTCAATCTCAAACTCACTTATTAAAGCGCGCATGAAATCAAAACTAACCATGTTGATTTCGTTACCTCACATCGCTAGTTCTGTGCTGAACAGCCAGCCTGATCTCACGAGGAAACGCAAGTATTTTACGCTTTGTCAGTTTAGTGGCTAATTCGTACGAGTTCAGTCGTATGAAAATGTACGATTTTAAAAAGGAGGCACGCCCAGCAACAGCCCCAGATTCCGCCATTTAGGAGTGAAAGCGATCGGCTGTCCATTGGATCTTATTGCTGTTGCGATGGCAAGCATTTATTTATTTAAAAAGTGCATCAAGGCTGAGATACAACCTGAAAGACGACAAAACAACACTATTACAATCATAAACAATTTTAATAGTTTATTTTACAGACTTATAATATACTGTTGTTCTATTGGAGTTTTCATTCCAAAGTGGCTGTTGTGCCATCTAGTGGCTGTTTCCCATATTGCACTGTTTCCCATATTGAGTGTCGCCTCTTGGTGATTCTATGCTCTTTGCCCACCCCTAACCCCAACCGTCATTGGGCGATGAACAAATCTTACTAAATTGTACGAATTAGACCGTACGAATTCATACGAATTAGCCACTAAAGCAAAAAGTTACAAATTGCCGTGAGATTACGTTGGAACAACTCATCAGTGCATGTCATCAGGACAAAATAAATAGTTTGCCCTTGTAATCTGAAAGAGTACTGATTGTTTACAGTTAAATTCTCCATCTGGGGTATTGGGCGGGGCTAACATATTTAACCACACCCCTCCAGCTGCCAGTTTTGACATTGCTGTCAACAAACAGAAAGGGTGAGGAGGAGGAGTCTGTGAGGTTGTAATCAGAGATGTAAAATTACTAATTACAAATACTCAGATTACTCTATTTAAGTAGTTTTCTCAGGAATTGTAATTTAGGTAGTTTTTAAAATGTGCACTTTTACTTTCCCTAGAGTACATTTTTAGTGCAGTATCAGTACTTTTACTCTGCTTCTTTCCTTGCAGTCACTATTTTTTCCTGTCTATGGGGATTAAAAAAAAAAATCAGTCCTGTGATTCCTGTCCAATCAAAATGCACCATAGTGAACTACCTCAAGACATGCAGCAATTGTTTGGAAGCATTGAAAGCAGGGGTGCCCAAACTTTTTCTCATGAAGAGCCAACATCCAAGCTTGATTGAGAGCTGTGGGCCGAAAGCAAATATAGCAAACTTTATTAAAGTTGCTAGAGGTAATTTCCTAATTTATTTCATTTTCTTGTCGGCTTAGTCCCTTTATTAATCTGGGGTTGCCACAGCGGAATGAATCGCCAACTTATCCATCACATTTTACGCAGCGGATGCCCTTCCAGCTGCAACCCATCTCTGGGAAACACACACACTAATACACTATGGACAATTTAGCCTACCCAATTCACCTGTACCGCATGTGTTTGGACTGTGGGGGAAACCGGAGCACCTGGAGGAAACCCACACGAATGCAGGGAGAAAATGCAAACTCCACACAGAAACGCCAACTGAGCCGAGGATCGAACCAGCGACCCAGCGACCTTCTTGCTGTGAGGCGACAGCACTACCTATTGCACCACTGCGTCGCCTCAATTTCCTAATTTATTTCATAATATTTATAAATAAATAGAAAAAATACTTCAACCTTATTTATTGATGTTTTTTTTGTTATTTTAATGAACGTA